AGAGTGTTTGTATTTTGTGTCAGGAGCTCCAGGAGTCTGTATTTACACAAACCCTGCAGCCTGTTTTTGTGAACATTCTGTAGGCACCAAACTTAGTTCTCTTAATGTAACAACACAGAAACTAATTTAGTTTAAAAAATGTTTAAAAGCACCCTAAGCTGAGGCCGGTCAGATGTATTTGGTTACACTTGATATGGACATTCAGGTGTGTGGACATTCATAGCTGTGTTTAGATTGACTCAGACATTAATTAGAAGAAATATTACAGAATCACAGAATTGCTAAGGTTGGAAAAGACTTCAAAGATCATCAAGTCCAACCATTCCCCAGCACTGCCAAGCCAACCACTAAATCACGTCCCCAGGTGCCACATCTACATGTCTTTTAAATCCCTCCAGGGATGGTGACTCCACCATTGCCCTGGGCAGCTGTGACAGTGCCTGACCACCCTCTCAGTGAAGAAATTTTCCCTGATATCCAATCTAAACCTCCCCTGGTGCAACTTGAGGCCGTTTCCTCTCATCCTGTCCCTTGTTCCCTGGGAGCAGAGCTCGACCCCCCCCAGCTCCCCCCTCCTGTCAGGGAGTTGCAGAGAGTGAGAAGGTCCCCCCTGAGCCTCCTTTTCTCCAGGCTGAGCCCCCCCAACTCCCTCTGCTGCTCCTGATCAGACCTGTGCTCCAGACCCTTCCCCAACTCCCTTCCCTTCTCTGGACACACTCAAGCTCCTCAAGGTCTTTGTTGTCATGAGGGGCCCAAAACTGCCCCCAGGATTTGAGGTGTGACCCCACCAGTGCCCAGCACCGGGGACAGTCCCTGCCCTAGGCTGAGGCCACACCATGGCTGGTACAGCCCAGGTGCCCTTGGCCTTCCTGCCCACCTGGGCACACCTGGGCTCATACTTCCAACAGGAAATCATCCTGTGAACTGAAGCTTAAAAACAAGTGTTACTGGAACCCAGGAGACTTGTGTGAGACATTCTGAAGCCACACACAAACACATTCAAATATGTCAGAGAACATATTTTTCCCTCACACGTTCTCGTTTTCTCACACTGCTCCTTCCTTCTGTGGCCTCATGTTCTTGGGCCTCCTCCCGCCCCCTGGCAGCTGATGAACGTGGTGGCTGATCCCTTTAACATGGGGAAATGCACACTATGCAGTCTGTACCACCAGACTACACTAAATTGCCAGCTGCTTTTTTGGAATTGAGTTTTTCCTAGGCTTTATGCCAAACAATCCGTGCCCATGGAAGATCCAGCTGCTTCAAGCTGCTCAAGAGTCCAGCCTCATCCATTGCTGCCATTTTTTCCTTCCTGCCCCTTTCATACTGTTGCATACCTTCCTCTCTTTTTTTTTTAACTGCCTCGTGCAGATCACACCCTTTCCCTCTACTTTCTTGTTTCCCCTTCTGCAACTTCCCTTTCTCCTCACCCCCCCAGGAACACATCCATTTTTCTATGAATAGGTATTTGGGATGGGCTTTTTTAGTTTTTTCCTTCTGCCTCTGTGAAAGTAACATCCCTTCTGAAACAGGACACTGGTGGAAACTGTCCCTCAGAGGAGTGGAAGAAGCAGCAATGAAAATTTTGTTCCCTACAAATGGCACAGGAATGGAAGAGGATTTATGTGGTGCCCCCTTGCCAGCAGATGTTCTGTCAGGGTTCTTAACAAAGTGGCTCTGCAGATATGACACAGCAGCAAAGAGAGTCTCATTTTACACCTCTGGGAAGAGCTGTCCAGAAGACAATGAAGAGTCAACCCAAGTCAGAGAAGGGATGAGAAAAGCTCATGATAACAGTGGCTCTAAGGGGGATAAGCAACACAGGGGAGGAAAGGCCTGGATTCTTACCTTGCTTCCCACTACCCAAGCAGCTTCTGCAGCCAGATCAGAAAGGCAGAACACAAACACCCCCTTTAGCTCTCATCCCTTCCCTGGGCTGCAATTCCAGTTCTGCTGTGGACTGTTGGTGACTCAGAGGGACTGTGCACACCCCTGGGAGCCCAACTGCATATTGTACTGAGGCAATGAAAGAGGCTGCAGCCTCTGCACCACGGCTCCTAGAAGTGTTCTCAGCTATTCCATGCTCCTGTGTTCCAATTAAAGGCTGAACAAGCTTTTAGCAAGTATTTTCTTGCAGAAGGCAAACATTGAATCGGCAAAGATATATGTATATTTTCTTATGTTATTTAAAGAAAAAAAAAAACCACCCGGGGCTTTCATCCATATAGCACAAAAAGTCACAGATGGAAACTTTTCCTCTTCCCTCCCTTTTTAATATCAGAACTAAAAGCAGGAACTTAAGAAAACCACAAGCCCTAAACGCCACCAGCAGTGATGCAGTGTCAGGCATGGAGTTTCACTGGCAGCCTATAGGAAGGTGCAACTCAGAGACATCTAGAAGGTGCCACCATCACTGATGGACTGCCAGCAGCATGGCAGAAGGTGCCAGCCACCGTGACCTGCCCCAGCACACAGCCAGCAGGCCTCACCCACTAAGGTGGTTTTGTTCCTGCAGCTCAAAAACAAATTACACGGTGGCCAAAAATCGGATTCGTTCACACTGTTCTCAGGTTGCCCAATTACCCCTCCTGTTATTCAGGGTAGAGCATCTGGAGTCAGGAAAGTGTGAACCTCAAGCTTTTTGCCAGCAGCTGTGAAGCACAGCAAACCTCTGGCACAATATAAGAAATATATGAAGCCACTGGAGAGTGTCCAAAGGAGGCAACAGAGATGGGGAAGGGCCTTGATTTGAAGCCGTGGGAGGACACTGAGGGCACTTGGTGTGTTCAGCTGGAGCAGAGGAGACTGAGGGGAGACCTCAGTGCAGTTCCAATTCCTGGGCAGGGGCAGAGGAGGGGCAGGGACTGAGCTCTGCTCTGGGGGACCAGGGACAGCAGCCAGGGAATGGCTGGAGCTGTGTCAGGGCAGGCTCAGGTTGGATCTCAGGCAAAGGTTCTTCCCCCAGAGGCTGGTTGGGCACTGCCCAGGCTCCCCAGGGCAGTGGGCACAGCCCCAAGGCTGCCAGAGCTCCAGGAGGGTTGGGATGATCCTCTGGGGCACAGGGGGTGACTCTTGGGGATGGGCCTGTGCAGGGCCAGGGTTGGACTGGATGATCCTTGTGGGTTCCCTCCAACCCAGCACATTCTGGGATTCTGTGACAGCAGGAAGCTGATGTTCCACTGCTGGATCAAATACTTCACTCTTTATCCCTTGGTAAAGCTTTGAGCTGCATTATTTTGAATTCCAGGGTAGAAGGCACAGAGGAAAATAAGCTAAGGAACATTTGAGATCAGTAGAAGCCGCCTGAATATTTAGTCAAAATAATTAGGAATAAGGATAGAAACTGTCTTAGTTAGGAACAGTCTCATCAATGGAAATTAAGGGAAAAATGTTTGTTATTAGGAAAATGCCAAATTGAGTGTTTTCCCTAAATTTGAGGTCGCATAGACCTGAATGCTGGGAGACTGTTTACCCTAAAATTTCTGTATAAAACCATGAGTAAGGTTTCATGGAGAAGATAAAGGAGAAACTATCTTTTTAGTGTCAAGCAATACAAAACAGTGCATACTTAAATGAACTGTTGTTTTTTCTTCTCTCCTTAAAATTAATTATGAAGAATTGTAGCTCCTCAAATAGATTACTGTTTGAAAACAGAAATGATCTATTTCAATAAAGATCTGAAAACACTGTTATTGAGAATAATGGATCATTCAAGTGCTAGCGTTTATTTTAAAAAGTTCTGTTCTTTTAATATTTTTTTTTGGCTCTTATGATCTCTTTAAAACCATAATAAATAAATAATCAGTTTGCAATTTTTTCCTGCCTCGTGGAGGTAGCCTTAATCAGCAAGTAGCACACTACAAACATTGTCCTAGTTAAACTTCAGTATAGACCGGGTTTTAAGTAAATTTTAAATTTCCTCTCAGGTTTTTTCCAGCATAATCCCAAAAATCAGCTTTCATTAGAGTGCTCCCACTCGGTGTATTAGAAGCCAACAAAGAAGCTGTATCCAGATGTTCCAGATGTTAAGAGTATTTCAGAGGCAAAGCTGTGTTTTTTGGAGGGTTTTTTTAACACAATTACTGGACCTAAGACATTTTACAACCCCCTCACTTGATAATTATGAAACCTGGCAGCTTAGTTCAGGAGCAGCATGTCCTGAAGTCACAGGGCTGGGCAAGGTAAGGGGCAGAGCAGGTCTCAGGTTACCCTGGTATTTCTTGGGGAAATTTGCATTTGCATCCCCCCCTCCTTTCCTGGGAAAGGACTGCAATGCTTGTAGAAGAAAAGAAAGGACTAGGATGAAGTCATCTCTTGAGTGGTTTGTACATGAGTGGTTTTCCCAACAACCACTAATGAATGTTTGCTTGAAGCTTTTATAGATAAACACTCAAAATAACACTCAATAATAATAATAATATAATCAATGATATTAACTAGCTACTGTGCTTGGGTTTGAGCTCACAGAGGTGATCTTCACATTTTTTAATTGTCTTTTCTAAGTTCTTGGGTGGCAAAATACCTTTTCTTGGTCCTGCAGGGCAATGTACTTCATCACAAGAATGTGAATACATTTTTGAAACTATAACTCCTGTAAGTATTTGTGTAGCTGAGTTTTACCATCTTACCTAGTGGGATCTCCAAAAAAGCACCTATCTCTTAATTTTCCTTGCCTTCATCCCACAAAAGCAGGTCCACGGGGACTTCCAGGTCTCCTCTTGTCTTCAGGCATCTCAGTACATCCAGAAATCTGGGAAGTGCAGCTTCTTTTCAAGCCTTACTTGCAAGAAACAAAGGGCTGCTGCTGGATTGCTGACTCCACTGCAAGCAGGAGTGTGACATTCACTGGTAGATTCCTTTCCTGGAGACTGACTCCAGCCACATCTGCAGCTGGAATGCAGCTGGTGACCCACCCTCCATGTCTGCACAGGCAACACTCCCCCCAGGCATGGAAAGGGAATTTTCTACACAGAAAAGAGTCAAAGAAATGGATGTTTCAATTAATAGGCATTCACTAGACAGGCTTTTAATCTAAATATTCTCCTTTAGTTCTCTCATTTTCTTTCTTACTAAGGCATTCTTGAATCACACTGTTCAACTATTTAACAGGCCTGGTCTCAATGCAGATGGATTTACACCATGTTTCTTCCCTAGATCATCCTGCAGGTAAAGCTCCTGTTTTAGAAATGCAGAACTCTACAAGCAGGGCTCTGTTAGTTCACTGCACACCACTGAACAAGTGTTTTCAATGTCCAAGGAAGAACTGGCATCTTGCTCTCCAGGTATAAATTGTGTTGAAGAGCTGGTGTCATGCAGCTGGACTGCTACCAGGTAGGTAGGAACCCTACCTGGGGACAGAAGAGCCATTAAACTAGAGTATAAAACCAGATTTAATATTTCTAGGGGCCAATATCAAGTCATCTCAGAGGTCCTTTCCAACCTGGCTGATTCTATGATTCTGGGGACATCTTTGTATGGATGGGGCAAACCTCAGCCTTGCCCTCAGACTTGGGGCATTCTCCTTCAGGGGCTTTTTGTGAGTTTGTTTTGTTGAATCTACTGGACAAACGTCAACTTAGTGCTTTTTCATAGAATCCCTGACTGGTCGGAAGGGACCTCAAAGACCATTCATTCCACCCCTGGGCCATGGGCAGAGACATCTTTCACTAGACCAGGGTGCTCAGGGCCCTGTCCAGCCTGGCCTGGAACACTGCCAGGGAAGTGTTCCAGACCAGGCTGGGTGGAGCCCTTGGAGTACACGAGTATTTTGGAGAGCAGATGAGAAATGAAGATGTAATTTCAGGCTGACTTGTCACCGCTGCCACCAAAGCATTAAGTCCTACCCTTCTTTAACATGTACCAGGTACGAGTGTTTGCAAAGCTATTCAGTGACACACATTAAAACAGCCTGATCCAGGCCAAAAATAATCCTCATGGAACAATAAGGGATGGTTCTCCCTGAATATGAGCACAAAGAATTAATTTTCTAGCTCTGCAGCACACTTCATGCAAAGTATCCAGTTTCTCCCAGACAAAAATCGCTGTGTATTTGGCCTCACGCTGAAAATCACTTTGGCAGACGACTTAAACCACAAAACCAAGAGGCAGAACACACAATTCCTTTTCTCTTTTATTGCTCCTGCCAATGTGACCACCTTTACGCAGGCACATTGCCTTCCTACATTAAACACTGTTTGATTAATCTGGAAGCAACGTTTTTTGCCCTCTACCCCCTCCTAAGGTTATCCAATTAACACGCAGTTATCCTTTGAAGAAGTTCTCACATTTTCTCTTTTTTTTTTCCCTCAGGTCTGTGTAAAGGTTACTTGGCAAGATTACATGCATACGACGTTAAATGGAGACCAACCCACCACTAAAAGGTAATGCACATAGAACATAATACAGTACTTTGACATCATTTCAAATAAATACCCACATACAAATGTAGTAATTTTAAATGCAACAATATTTCTTATGAATCAATACTGTAACAGAAGATGGAAATATAAGTCCCCACATCTAGGAATAATAATGCTTTTTCCAGCAAACAGAAATCTCTTCCATCGATATTGGTTCGATTTGTCCTTTTTTATTTTATTTTTGTTTTTGAGGAGCGGGAGAACTCCCTCCCCACTCCAGCCCAAGTACCAATTTAATCATTCCCAGGAGCCTCAACAAGCCCAGCGGGGCTGGTTGATGCGCTTTCTGTTTGCTGAAATCACACCTGGGTACAACATGCAAGAGGAGATGTGGATGTGCCGCGCCCACGGCGCCCGGGACCGCGAGGATCCAACGGGAGGCCAGTTGGTTCCCCACCTGCAGTCGGGCTCCTTTAGCTTTGTGGTTTCGTTTGTTTGTTTTGTTTGCTTGTTCCTCTCTACCCCTGAATTTGCACGGTGAAATATCATTGACTAACAGAATTTTTTACAATCCCTCGAATATATAATCTCTCTAAGTAAGACTACCGTTAAAAATGTGCGAAAGGGGAGTTCACTTTGCACTTATTGCTCCACGTCTTCAATAAATTCCCAAACCCAGCCATCCCACTCCTCCTAAGTGACAGGACTTGGCCCAACGCTACTCTAAGAGTCTCCCTTCAAATGATCAAAGGCACTACTGGCAATAACGAGTGACAGAAAGGCGCTGATAGATAACACCCTATCATTGACCACTTTAGAATTTTTCTTTCTAAATGTACCACAATTTGGCACAATAAAATGAAAAAGTAACACAACAATTCCAATTTGGAATTTCACTGGTATAGTTGTATAAAATTCTGTTAATCAATAATACTTCAACTTCCTAAAACCCAGGAATTCTGGAATTTATAGGTAATACTACTTATTTAATATTTTTCAAGTGCCTATTACTGTTTTAACCAGAACAAAGTCAAGTTTTCTTCTTGTTACATTGAACTATTCCTAAGAATAATAATACAATATGAAAAAAACCCCAGAATTTGAATACCCTGGATTTCTTAATGAACATGGCAGTTAAAAAGAAAATCAGTAATTTAAACATATAAAGCTTAACATTTTATAATAATAAAAAAAATGCTGAAGCACAGCACATAGTTTAGCAGAGCTCCTGTTTTTTTGTTGAAACTCTTTTCTAATCACAATCTAGAGCCCCCCCAAAATCTCTGCCACATGCTGATATATAATTCATAAATCACAAGTTCCAAATTGGAGAGAGACTATGAGCACAAACCACTGCATTTATATAAACTCTTCTACATAAGGAATTAAAGAAGCTAAAGAAAAATATCAAAAGTGCACAGGTTTAACAATCAGGTAAAAAAAAAAAGAGCATCTGCAATGAAATAAATTCCCCCATCCGACATTTCTAGGAGAGCACACACTAACATGGTTACATTTGAAGTAGGTTTCTTCAGCACTTGTAAGGTTTCTTACTGCAGCAGCACTTATAAGTAAAGCTTGTTTTTTCATAGCTTCAGGCAGAAAGGGAAGGTTTCAGGTAGTATATAGGAAAAGGTGTTTTCAAAAGTTAGGATCAGGTCAGTGGTTTCCACTCTGCAATGGGCCACCACTTTGAACCAGAGTGAGGAAGGCTAAGAAATGCTGTTGCACTGTTGGAAAGGCCTTCTCCAGGGACTACTCTACAGCTGAAAAATGGAAAAATAAAATAGCATTAGAAAAAAAAAATATCAGTGTTTATTTCTCAATTAAAAGAGCTGAAAACACAAACCTATGTGCAGGTTAGTTGGTTGGGGGTCTGTTAGCTGGCTGGGGGAGCAGCAGCCAGGCCACCTTCCCAGCTGGGTGAACAAGGGGCTCAGCCTGGAAGCAACAGCTTTGCAGAAAGAAGGATTCTTACAAGTACTGAATAAAGCTTTGCTGTTCAAGCACGAGTTAACAGCCATGGGTGCACAGGAAATGTTTTCAGTGAAGCTTTAGGTTCTCCAGAAACATGCAGGTCAGTGTGTCATGCAGGCCTATGCAGAGAACCATCCAGAAGAGCCTGCTCGCAGAGGTAGGTGATGGCTTAAGGAATTTTCCATGCTTTATCCCAACCCATTAAGACTGACAGGAAAGACTTACACAGCAAATGAATGTCTCAAAAAAAAAAATAAATCAAGAATTAAAAGACTCAGTCTTAAATATTCTCTAAAAACACAAACAGCAGGATGGAGTCACTTTACACTGTCCCTCAGTTCTTTTCCTAACAGGATGAACCATAACGGTGACAGGCTCGAAGAGCAGCCAGGCTGGCTTTTGTGGGTTTTAAAAGACTCACAGAAATGACTGAAGGTGGAAAGGACCACTAAGATTACTGGGCTAATAGCAGAATTGTTCATACTTGGAACTGAAAGAATGAGCCAAGTCTGACAGCAATAGTCACCTATCTGGTAACACCGAAATCTTTACAGAAAATTCCAGATAATTTGGAAAAAAAAAACACCCTAACAATGCATTCAATTATGCAACATAACAATGCATTCTCCAGTTTATCTTTTTGCCATCATTATTTTGCAAAAATACTGTCATTAGAGACATGGAAGCAGTGAAAACTGTTTTAAAGCTCCCTACCATAGCGGAAGCAGAATTGTAACTGTGTCTACTGAAGCAGAGAAGCAGAGAAGGTTAGCACTCAAACACCTGCTCTCACCAAGTATTTTTAAAATGTACTTAATGCAGGAATGAGAAGAATAAAGGCCTTTTGGAAGATTGTGCAGCAAAGAAGAGAAAAGCAGGATTGAAAATTGTAAAAGATGCCTCTTCTAAAATATCAAACCTGCTATTTAGCAATATTAAAGCTCAAATTCAGGAGAATTCAGTGTTTTCTAAAAAAAGTAATAACAGACACACAGGGCCCAGTTTCTAAACCCAGAATTGCAGTTTGTTTAAACTTCCCAAGCAGTGATGTTTGAGCAACATATCAGAACTGCATCACTTGGGGTTTTTATCCTCCTCTCCGTATCAATAAATACAATTCTGGCTCTGGGTGGTGGCATTCCCACGGTTCCCAGCTTTGTAGCAAAGTTCCATTTGTTTGAAGTCTCACTGTATGAATTTCCAGAAGACTTCTCCCCCCCTCCCCCCAGTACCCTGAAATATCTGGGAAGCCAAAATCTCAGGTGGTTTTCCCTCGAGTGGGAAAAGCAGCTGTGCTGTTTATTACCTTCTGTTAGCACTGGGATGTCTCCTGACTAGGCAGAGGCAGCGCGGGAGCAAGGGCTGAGCATCTACAGGGCCGGGGGAGAGGAGCAGAACCACAGCAGAGGGTTAGAATGGCTTCAGGGACCGCTTTTTAGTAACACTACAGGCGTACAAAAGTCTTTGAAACAGAGTACAAAATGAACAGGGCTTTACATTAAAATAAAGTCTGAGGCTAGGCACTTTGAAACTCTGGGTTGAACAAAGATCTGTGCCTTGCAGGGCGCTCCACAATTTTTCCACAATTTTAGAAGCAACGTTTTCAATCTTTTTTTCTCTTACGTAGGCACCAATTACGAAGTACACTTTTAGACTATCCAACTTATTGTAATTAAGTGGCTAAAAAGGCCCCTTAGCAGTTCAAAAGCAGACAAAGGTTTATTTGTTTTTAAAGATTAATATGTATACTAAGCTACTTCATAAATCATTATTAGCAGGATGATCTGGTTCAATTTCCCGTGCCTCTAATGTAGAGCCCTGTGAAACACGTGCTTGCATACAGAATGCAATATCTTCTGTGTACCTTAAAAAAATGATCAGAGCTCTGCAATGTTACCTATTTAGGTTAATACTGAAAGCTGTCTGTGACCAACAACGCTAGACCATAGTCACATCAATTCTACACATACATGTTGCGTGGCTACAGTGACACCTCTAACAGGTTCTTTCCAAAGTGTTATGCTTGTGAAGAGCAACATGAAACCACAAAGGTCCTTTCAAGACATAATTTCTTCAAGTGGAACTGTGTACCAGGTAGGATCCCAAATCTTAAACCTTTTAAGTTTTATATCAGATGGGGAAAATATTGCATATTTTTAATATAAATGTGCAATTTTCTTCTGGTTATCCCTCTGAAGAGAGGGAAACAGGGCATAAATAATGTACCCTACCAAGTGTTTTTCTAGCTTTTATAGCCTATAAAAGCTTTAGGACTTTGGTCAGTGGTGATACAACAGCAAGTTTTTAACATCTCTCACAACAGGCAAATTGTTTGATTCCAGTTTCCAAATATTCTCTAATTTTGATGTTTGCTTTTCACCACTTCATAAGCCACAATAACAAGGAAGGTTTTCTGTTTGTTTCTGCCTTGAAAGCGTTTACTGAAGTATGCTGCAACCCTGGAGAAAGGATCACATTTGTGCTATACAAACTACAATTAGTAACACCAGATATACTCTATCAGGTGTACTCTTAACACTTACCATAAACAGCAAAACCCAGACATGTTAATTGTGGAAAAAGCTAGTTCCTTTCCACTATTAACCTGTTAATAGCATCCCCATACTTATGCATTAGTTACAGTTAAGAACACCATAATACAATCAGTATTACCTGGTTCCACAACATACTAGTACAAGTCAACTCACTGCGACGTTAGATAGTGGGGATTTATGCTGACAGTTACAGCATAAAATAAGATGCAGAATACGATTTTTTTTTTCCCTAGACACCTGCCCTAGTCACAATAGATTTTATATTTCTCACTATAGAACACCTGGTTGTTCAGGACAGACCCTTCAGGCCTGTCTGCGCAGGACCGAACGTGACTTACGCTGGGGTTACTGCCCTTGGCTTTGGAGGCGGATTTTGTGCGCACCCTTTTGGACTGCTCGTGGTCCAGCTCCAAGTGTTCCAGGCGCTGGGTCAAGGCCAGTTTCTGCTGGATAGCCATCCGGAGCAAGGAGTTCAGAGTCTTCTTCTCATCCTCGGCCGCCGCGAGCTGCCGCTGCATTTCATCCAGCTGCGTGACGTACTCGTCACATCTGCAACGACACACAGCAGCCTTTAGCAACCCCGGCCCCTCTGGAAGCCACAAACCCCTGCTGTCCGGCCTGTACCAGCAATGCAGCCACTTGCACACACACCCTTAAAGAGGAACTTCATCGAACCTGTAGGAAACCACATTTTCATAGGGTTCTTAAAATCCCGCGCTCAGCGCTCCGTGTGCTTTCAGGATGGAGGGTAATTAGGAGCCTCCCTGGAGGAGGGAAGTGTGGAGTTTGATGTGTCTGAAGGGCAGTGAGATGTCCTCTCACAGCGAGTACAACCCACGCAGTCACGTCACTTTTGTCTCTGCTTTACAGAGATCACAGTGGTTCTAAGGGTCTGTAAAGGGTCTGAAGGGAGCAGCAGGAATGCTGTGAAATGGCCAGTGCTAAAATGGCCACTAACACCAGCTGATGAGCACCTGACCTTTGCCATTCCTTACTTTACACAGAGTCCACATAACAGATCTCCAGTGGTGACTGAACAGCAACTGTTAAAAATAAGCCTCTTTAAAAATTCTACTTTAACCCACTCTGATTCCTAATGTAAGAATTCTACAAATAGTGGATGTTTTCTCAATAACAAGTGGTCTTTATATAATTGTTTTTGCCACTGAAACCTATTTTAAAACAATTAAAGGAACTGAGTGTTACTGGCAAGGCTGTGGTGAAGCTATATGAATGCCTCAAGCTGTTCTATCTACAGTCATTGTCACTGAGCCTGGAAGCTGCTTAGCTTGCACCACGAAAAACTTAAAAAATTAATGTCCTTTTGTGTAGATGCATATTTACTGCACAGAGGCAGTTATGCATATGGGTAGAGAAATAAATATTCATAGGTACCAGCTGGAATTTACAATGGCCCTTTACAACTTCTTCATAAAAACAAAAGTATCAGCGGAGAAGTTCCTTTTAATATTGAAATGGAAGAGCCCTTGACTTTAAGGGATATTTATTGTCATTAAGTAACATAAAGTAGACTGAAAAAAAAAAACCACTATGAAAAAAACCTGCATTGATATGCAGATTCATCAGCTGTGCTCATACTGTCAAGCCTCTAATTCTGCTCTCCCCTGACTTTAAATAGCAGGATTAGGCCTATATTCCTAAATATATTTGCTTGGGAAGAGAAAAAGGAAAAAGAAAAAACCCCTAGAATTTTATTTTTGAATACACGTGGAGATTAACCAGTAGCCTAGAAATATCCATATAAAACTGCATGAACTATAACTGTGCTGCAACTTCAGAGACCAAGAGGTTTTGGTGAGTTTGGGACCCCCATATGCACAGGAATCTGTCCCCTCACCCTGCTCTGGAGTTCTCACAGCCTATCCCACACTGTGCAGCCCAGAGGAAAACCACTGTGTGAGGGGTTTTTCTTTTGAAGAAAACAAACCCAGGGACCCTTAACTTGCTGTAAGGCCAGCACCTGCCAGATGGACTGACAGGGCACAACCAACCCCTCCACCCCAGGCAGCAGAAGCAGACTCAGGGCCAGATCTTGTCCCACAAACCCATTTAAGCTCTAGAGAGGAGCACAGACTGAAATAGCCCTGAGAAGTCTAAAAGGGGCATAACAGTCCTCTCTGAGGGAGGGCAGCACCACCTCCAGAAGGAGGGCACGGCCACAAAACTGAACAGCTCAAAGCACCTGGTGCCCCTGTGCCCTGCTGCTCCAGAGGATTAGAGAGGTGTTTTCTTCCCTTAGGAGTGGGAAGGAGGCGCAGGCTGAAGATTCCTGGGAGGCCTGAGGGCTGTGAGGTTTCCCTCCAGCTTTCACACACACTCGTGACATTTGAGGTGAAAAGCCAAGTCTGGTTATATCAAAAGTGACCTTTTTCTGCCCACACTTAAATCTGGTTCCTTCCAAGCTCCACTGCTGCAAACCAGGGGAATGTCCAGACAGCATTACCAATTCCTTGAGGAACGGAATGCGATTGCTGCAGGAAAATATGATCTGGTACTAGAGTGGGCTGTCCCTGCTCCCTGTATTTCATTCTCACTATTACCCTCCCAAAAGATCTGGGCAAGGTGAAATTATAAGGAGGTTTTTCCTCCCCCTTTTCCAGCTTCTTTCTTGTGAATCAAAACATATCCGCTTTTTTTGTACAGACGGGGCCCTAAAACTTTCAGCTCAGTGAAGCAGTGTCAGGACTGCTGCTATCTACTGATTTGATTGGCACCAGAGAGGTGCTAATCCAAGCCAGACATGGCAAGGGGGCAGATCTCTTCCCCCCACCCCATTTAGAACAAGAAGAGATGATGAAGAGATAACAAAACTATGGCAGTAAAGCAGAGCAGGGACTGCCCACGTGGTCTTGCTCATGTTCTGATATCACTCCTGCCTCTTGATCAAGCACAGCCAGTTGTGCCAAAGCCAGTGGCTGACTGGTGACACAGACAGATGCCTGGCAGAGTTTAGAAGGCAATGAAGTCTTTCCTATGTGAGCCAAGCTATAATTAAAGCCAGGATTTTGACTCCAAAAGATTATTGTAGCAAGTCACTATCTCATCAAGCTTCCTGTTAGCACAAAGATTTACAACATCAAATAACTGTGCCTAGAAATGACAAGGTATTCACTATTTCAAATACCTAAATTAGCTTTTTTTTCCCCCCTCCTTTGTTTTCCATAAAATTATATTCAGGGAGTTTTTACTTCCTTTCACACACAAGGGAGGTGTTATCAGTAGCAGCTGCAGTTTTTAACTGTACCTGAGCAACTCTTCTCACCTATATAGGAGAGGACTGGGCAGAGGCAGGAGTATGAACTACTCTGCCTACGCACTGCCCTGTGTCCTGAACCTGGTTTGCTGATCTTTAAGCCAAAAGGAATCATACAGCCTCAAAACTGAAACCTTGTCCTGGTGCAAGCACGGCTGTCCAGGGTCAGAGAACACCCCTGTGCAAAGCACAGCAATTATTCACTGGAACAAAGGGCAAAGAAGTTCCCTAAAAGTGGCTGTAGAAGCTGCGTGCAGAGGTGGACTGGGATCTGCCCCACTTCCTTCCTTCCTTCCTGCTGCTTGCTGGCTCCCAATTTAATTTTCTTAACCCCCCCAAACCCCAACAATGTAGCCTCCCTAAGCATCTAAGACAGCACAGCCTCTGGCACTGCTTTAGCTGGCAGCAGCAGCTCTGGCAGCACATCTTTGTGGGGTGTGTGTGTATATTTTCACTGCTTTGCAGATAGAATAATAAAAGCTCCTTCCCTTTTACAATTCCATTTGCTAGCTGCTAAGCTACTTCCCAGCTGTATATCCAATAAAGTCAGAATAGAAGATGTCTTTGTTTCAAAAACACCTTTGAAAGAAAATAATTAAGCTTTCATGCGTTTAGGAAGGATATGAAATTAGCATAAGCCTGTTGTACTTTCACACATTCACAACTTTAAGTGGATAGTGAACACAAGGCTTTAATGTTGCCCATTTTCTTACTGTTGGCAATTAACAACAACAAAAAAAGAAGCTTAAGGAAACTTCAAACAAGATTTTTAAAACCATCATCAGCTAAAACAAATATCTGCAAAGAGGAAATAAATATCCTAAGTGTTAAATATAATGATGAGAAATTAAATACTCTAAAACACTCTCTGAAGCCAAATTATTGAAAAACCTAACAATGGTTTGTGGCATTTTCCAAAGCTGCACACCACTGCTTCCCACAAACACCAGTTGTGCCTTATTCTACAGACCAGTTTATGTAAGATTTAGCATGTACTAGTTTTAATACCATTTATAGCTAAATTCACCAGTAAATCAAGGTCTGTTTCAGGGGGGGGAAAAAAAAAAAAGTGATGTAACCAAATGCACCTGGGGCATAATTATACTTTTCCCTCTCCTCTGCAATCAATGAGAACCATGTGACAACTTCCAAGGAAGCAAGACAGACGTGACTGAAGAAGGCATTAGAGAGAAGCATCAGCTTCTTCCACCTTGAGAGATTAGACTGTCAATGCACATAAGAAATTCAAACGTGGAGGATTAAAATCACAATTTTTCAGCTTTATTAAAAACTGGGAAATGTATTAGCAAAGACACAGTCAAAATGAGATGTAAATGAGCACTGACTGCATTCGGCTGTAAGAGATCAGCCATGTGCTGTTTCTAACTCTTTATATTAGAAATTAATATGAAAGACTGATTTTTAACACCTTCCTCCCACCTTCCCCTTAACCCAACCCCTGGTGAAAACCAGCTCATCTGCAGAGAAAGAGATAATCTGTGTTCCCAGAGGAACACAGGGAAGAAGGTTACGGCAGCAACAAAGCCACAGAAGCTCCTTTCACAAGGGCTCTTCTGCTCTGCCTTGTGTGGCACATGTGGTGTACCAGAGATGGGCTCCTCAGCACCCAGGGGAGATTTGGAGCCAGTCTGTACACCATTTGGATGTTTAAGTGGCAGAACAGAAGGTGGTTATTAGGGACTGACAGCAGAAGACAGGCCCGTCTTCAGAAACCAGATGATTTCTACGATCTCACGCAATCTGCCTGAGCTGGGCTCCTCTGCAGGAACTCAAAACGGCAGAAGCTCAAGCATGTCTGTGAGAGCACCTCCAAGTCTCTGTAAACACCTGTAGGAAACACTCTACACAGAAATTCTACTTCACAGAACAGACAGAGAATTATATGGTTTCCCACACTAATATTCTCCAGGTCTTGGTATTCCCAGGTGCAGTGTCACTGGAGTGAATCTACTTCTGCTTTAAATCCTTTCCTCACAACACCCCAGATTTAGGCAGTTTACAGATAAGCAACTTCAAGGGAATGGAAACCTTTAGCCAATTGCTAATTTGTAATTACTTCCTCAATACCTTGCACCAAGAAAACTCACCTGAGTTGTATTATTTGAAATAAATAAAACCTGTGGCCTTTATTTGTGTAATTTACTGTGATTTTCACTATGAACAGAGACGGTTTATATCCATCTACAGTTTCCTGGAACCTTCGTAATCAGCCATGTGTAATCAAAGTGTGTTAGTAAAAGCTAACAAAGAAGGTAATCAGACCACAAATCTCTCCTGT